CATTAATTATGAGTAAGAAGAACATGGAGCAAAACAGAAGCATTAGAGGAAACCCCTCATACACAAGCATACAACACACAGGATTGGGATCAATCTCACTATCCAACATACAAACTCATACCCAGAGCAATGTTTCTCACTCCCCCTTACCTAGATAAGCTTTAGACGGCGGTTGGACAATTTCAGAGTGTTTTCCTTCCTACTCATGTTCTCCGAGTTCTGAAACGCGAACACATGTGAAAAGTAAGGGAACATAAAAACTGACTAGAAACCCTTCAATTTAAAACCTTAACCTACCTTTAACCCCATAGTTAAAAAAAATTAACTATAATTAAAAATTTATTTCCCCTCAATCAATTAAAATGAAATATTTAAATAAAATACCTTAAATTATCTTATAAAATATATTAAATAATTAAAAAAATATTTAGCAACCCTTATTAATAAAATAAAAATATCAAAATTATTAATAAAATACTCATATTATATTTTATAAAAAAAAATGGAGTGTTACATTATTGAACAAGAAGAGCTCGCATCTTCAACCTCCATAGCCTAAAGTCATTTCTTCCAATGAATTTCTCAAGCTTGAACATATGTTTGATTTCACTCCACACTCATCGCACTAGTTTGTTGTGATGAAGACTATCAAAAAAACGAACAAATTCACCAGGAACCTAGAAACAAATTTATCTGATAGTGTAGAAAATAAGGAGAACAAGAACGCAAGAATTTAAGAAGAACAAGAAGAGTAAAACACAAAGGAATTACGTGGTTCAACTAAGAACTAGCCTACATCCATGTGAATAGGGGTGGCAAAACGGGCCAGCCTGGCCCGTTACGGCCTAGCCCGCCAATGGCCCACCAAAAATAGGCTGGGCTAGACCGGCCCGCTGATGAAAAACGGGTTGAAAACGCTGGCCCGCCCCGTCTAAGGACGGGCTGGCGGGCCAGCTTGCATACCACAAAAAAAATTGCAAAAAAAATGGAAAAAAAATATATTTTATGTTCAAATAAAAAAAACTACTACAAATAAATAAATATAACCATATGAAATTAAAAATGCATACATATTGTACATAATATATGTTCAACAAAAGAAAATGACAAACTTAGAACAAAATCAAATAGAAATTAGTCCACTTACACCGAAATTAAAATCAAATTATAAACTTACAAATTACTAATAATCTAAATTTTTTGATAGTCCACAAAACAAGTCCATTACTTATACAAACAACTGAAGCTCAATTACTTATGCAGGTTGGCGGGTTGTAGCGGGCCAGCCTGCCATTTGGCCCTACAGGTTGCCATGTTTGGCGGGATGATTTTAGTGGGTTGGTAGGTTGAAATGATGGGCCCGGCCAGCGAGTCACAACCTATTTTGCCATCCATACATGTGAATGCAACCACTTCACTACACAGAAAACACTAACGGACTAATTGACTTAAAAAAAATTAGTTACAAAGCAGCCCATTTGGATGACTTTAGCAACGTGTCCAATATAAAAGTTACATGTCCATAAGGAGCATTCTTCCATAATGGGGCTTACTAATTGGACCAAACATCAACAAGTACATAGTATGAAACTATGAATAGTGTTAAGAATATGCAAGATACCTTTGTTCTTGCCTATAAGGGAACTTCATAGGTAAAAGATTCAAAAGATAAATATGTAGGTAAGATAATTTGAGCTAAGATGCAAGAAGAAGAAACATGGTTGGAAAATTTCAAATTGTCTTCAACAACCTTCGATCACTAGGCAAAACTTATATTGCCTTATGATAATATTGAAAAAATTCTTCGTAGTTTGCTATAATAACATTGACCACAAGTGACTAAACTAAGAGCGCAAGGACCTCAAGAGTCTCCCTGTTGAAAAGCTTCTAGGAACTCTTAGAGTGCATGAACAAGAGCTGATGGAAGATGAAGGAGCAAAGAAGGTAAAGACAATCATGCTCAAAGCTACAAAGACGAATAATGTTGTGATGAGCAGTTAGAAAATGACGATCTAAAAATGGATGAAATATCTTTCATTTAAGGAAATATTCACTCTGAAAAAAAAAGGGGGGGAGGCGATGTAAATAGAGAATCCGCACAAAGAAGCTACATAAGAAATCCAAACACAAGATTCTTATACTACGAATGCAACAAGTAAAAGAATTTCGAGTCATAATGTTTAAAATGAAAATATATCAAAATAAAAATTGCATATAAACAATAATTTAATTGGAATGTGTAAAAAAAAAATTAGAGTTTCATCTCACCTTAAATTGATGTATAACTATTGATGTATGGAAGAATGATTATATGTGTTAGACGTTATTGATGTAATAAATATGTGTGTCTACCTTTATGTCTTATATATGTTATGTGTGGATAAGATGTACTCACTCCCAATGTTTATATGTTTGGGTTGAATGCCACTTGTAGGAATAAAATGGGTACAAGAGGATGTGTTTGATGAAAGAGAGGTCTAAAGGGAGTTTTGCTTTGATTAATGTAACATCAAGCCATAGTTTAGTCTTGGTAGTTATTTATATTTGTGAAATCTCTATTTTAATATATTTCCTTATTGAGAGTTTTGTTCAAATAGGTAGTTGTGTCTGATTTTAATTTATATATTATCTACTATGTCTTTCTTCCTTTAATAAAGTTAGGGATAAAATTTTGTGAACTCTTTTACAAAGTTTTGAAAAGAAGAAATTCATTATTATTTTATGAAATTTTTGTTATTAAATTATTTATTTTGTTATTAAATTATTTGGGGTAGAAAGGTGTCATGGAATCTAGGTTCTTTATTAGAAACTATGCTAGATAGAACCTCATACAACCTAATAATCTCCCTTATCTACAATTTTGCCAGTCTATAGGATACTTAATATTGATTGGAATAAAATGGGCAAACCTCATCCGTTTATTCTCTATTATCCAAATAGAGTTTAAGTTTTTTGTGATTCGAGGTAATCTAACCACAAAGTCCATGAAAATATTATCACACTTTCCCACTTGTACATCTAAGGGTTTACCCACTATTTACAACTTATCATCAATTTTATTAATCTTTACTCTCCTATGTAATTCAAGGGTTTCTTTGGACACTCATAGATTCACAAATAATCCAAATCATCCACAACACAATTCGTCTCATATTTAATACAAAGATCATTTGCAAATTCCATGCAAATCATATAAAGCACAAATTCTCATCACACAAATCAAAACCATGAATTTTCCCAAGAATTAGATATGCAAGAAGAAAGGGATTGTATTTCGCTAACCCAACAAATTAATTGACTCCCAAATCAAAAAACTCTCACTCTTCCTTACCTTTGTGAACACTTGTTGAAGGATGAAAGTTTGCTCCTATTGCAACTACATTCTCCACTTTGCGTTCTTCAATTAAAAATGGGTGAGAAAGGTGAGAAGCCTAGACGTAACCCCAAATGTAATTGCTAGTTCTTTTTATAAAAAAAAATGGAATAACTCTCAACCCCTTTAACTCTCTCAACTAACTCTTTTAACTCTAGTTATATATCTCTTCCCTCATATTTAAACAAAAGACACTACTAGAATTTCTCTTATTACATGCGACTTTTCTTGCGAATTTTTCATAAAAATTCACAGAAAACGTTGTTCTTGCAAATTTTTCTGCGAAATTTTATCTATAGGTAATAACTTCGTTAAAAAATTTGCAGCAAGGTTTCCTGTAAAAAAAAATTTCCTGCAAAAAAACATTTTCAGGAAAATTCGCAGGAAAATTTCTTGCAAATTTTTTTGCAAGAATATTTTTTACGAAAAAAATTAAAAAGATTACTATAAATTCTATTAATAATTTTTCAACTTTTAAATGCTCACAATGAATTCATTCGAAGCATTTGTTTCCATGCCTCCAACATGTGATACATAATCTTTTAAATTCTAAGATTGTAGATTATAAACCTAACACTCAACCATACAAATCAACTTGTAAGGTAAGTGTTGCCCCAACTTATATACTCTTTAATTGCTTTATTTTTAATCGATGTGGGACTTGAAGTTTTTTAAAATATTAAACTTATAAATTTAAATATTTTTTTTTTATTTTTCCTGCATATTAAAATTTGCAGGAAAAATTACCTGCAATTTTTTTTCTACCATTTAGTAAACATTACTTGTGAATTTATTTTTGCAAGAAAATCTGCAAGAGACAAAATAAAATTCTTACAATATTTTCTTCAAATTTTTACCATTGAAAAAAATTTCTATGATTATTAAAATTGTAGCAAAATTTTTAAGAAATATCTATAAATTATTTGCAAATAAATTCGCAAAAAATTTCTACAAATATTTTTTTACAGGAAAATTCGCAAGAAAATGACATTTTTCTAGTAGTGAGAATAACTTATATAATCAATAATATAAAACATTTTTCTAATACCTATTATACAAATAATTTTTCAACATTTATTTAATTAAAAAAACGCTTATAATTAAATAAAAGCATCTAATTATTTTCAAAATCTAACTAATTAATTTAAGATTTTTTAAGAACATTATCATCGAATATTGTCGGATACCAAATGCAGATATGTGTGTGAGAGAGAATTCCTATTTTGATTTATCATGTTGCATGAGAGAATAATTTTGACCATTATATTCAACATTCGTTGGTTATGAAATTAACTGGATTTTGTATATATTCATTTATCGGTATATTTTTTAACGAAAAACGCATGTTTAATAAGAGAGAGAGAGAGAGAATTCCTATTTTGATTTTTTTTTTTTTTTTGTAAACTTAAGATTAAAACAATCAAAGATGATTCAATATTAAGCCTTAAAAAAAAGAATTCAATGTCTTTAATTATTCCATGGCTGAAGCCTCCTACTTGAGGCATGAATTAGTGCAAATACAATGAAGGTCTGGCTTATTGCATTTTCCCTCTTTAAAACCTTGAGTGTTGCAAATTTGAACGCAGATTAGGTCAGTAGAGCATGGACCTACGAATTTTTCACTCTTGGGAATGCATTCTTCTGTTGCAGCCTGAACTGATATCTCTTCTACAATTGCAAACAATGTCAAAACAAATATATATATATGTGTGTGCGTTCTTAAAAAAATGTTAATATATAATTTTTTTTTATACCAATATTACTACTGACACACCCACAAAGAGAAACTTACCAGCAAAAACGAGAATGATGAAAAAAATCAAGACATGCATTTGTTTTGCCATGATATCGTCCCTGATCACCAAAGCAGAATTTTGCTAAAGAATTTAAAACGGTGAATGTCTGAGGAGTTTTTAGCTGTTTTGTGTGTATATATATTCTAATTAATGTGAGAAATTTATTATATGAAAGTGTAAAGAATATGATTTTACCATATTTTGTATTTATTAATTATTATAATAAAAGTCAAAGTATTTTTTTTAATTATATGATAGTTTAGGATTTTTTTTTATCAGTGAGAGATGATTAAATTTAGTGTTTATATATATATATATCTCAAACTCTCATCCTTAAGTCTCATAATTTTTTTTAGCACGAACCACGTATATCTTTTATTGAAGACAACTTTATTCAAATTAGGTAGCAAAACTATGGACGACAAATATCTCCTGCTAAATATAAATATATATATATATATATATATATATA